ACATATATATATACGTATATATATATATACATATATGTATATATATATATACGTATATATATATGTATATATATGTATATATACATATGTATACATATATGTGTCATCTGTAACAGTCTGTTGCTGTAACACATTTGCTTTTTGTTTACTTTTCACCACAACAGTGAAGATATGAGTGAGGCCAGACGGCTGACCATGCTAACTTAGAAGAAGTTGGCAGCAACGTCTACGTTAGCCCGAATATGCGCCACGCTCTCCAGTCGAAAATTCAGCATCGGAGAACTGAGCATCGGCGCATCTTTGGCTTTTTCAATATTGTCGTGCTGAGGGAGTGATTTCTTACTACAAAACATGGATATTGCGCAAGAACAAACACGAGCTGTGACGGAAAGAGCAGTGGAACTATGGATGCTCGGAGTGTCTATCGCCACCTTAAAAGTTTATGGGTTGGACCAGTGTGCGTGCCTTACGTGTGTGTCTGGTGGAATGTGTTTGTTAGCCAATACCTAGTGGTAGCCATATATTTATAATTATATACAAAAGACAACAGTCATTCCAAATACTAGAGGAGAATAACAAATAAAATGTGGCCAAAGCACCGCAGAACAAGGTGGTCAGAGGAAGGAACAAAACACACTAGAGCCTAGAGATGGGGAGTAGAACTTTTTATATCCTCCTTATCATGTTCAACAATACCAAATCCGCCCAAACAATCGGTGTGAGGATTCCATGCTGATGCTGTTAGTCTGGGATGTTTCCATACGTTTGACACAGCGATGAATCTATTTAAGCCGATTGTAGCATCTAGGTTGACCTTAGATCAAAGACAAGTTGAATACAGAAAGCAGGAACAGTATGAGGAAAGGAGGCAAGAATGAAATAAGACATTTCGGTCCATTAAGTCATATACGTTTTAACACTGCAACAGGACCTCGTCATTATGACGGTCGAAGTATTTAATTTTTAAGTTTCCAGGGTTAAATTGGTTGTTGCAGTCTGCTTCTAAGTATTCAGAATTACATTATTGTTGTAATATTTTGGTGCAATTTGCTCGTGCATCCCCCTTTCCCACGCATATTCTATTAATATGGGCATGCGATTTGCTTTGGGTTTCTCACAAAAATTCGCCCGTCTATAGCAGTTAAGGGTCATGGTGTGCCATGTGACTGGAGAAATATGGATGCACAAGAACAAACAGTAAGGGCAGAGACAGGGAATGTTGCCCCGCCGTCGACTTTACTAATACATTTTTCATAGGGGCAGGCAAAAAAAGCCATCGCTCAACTGGGAAGCAGCTTGCCTTCTTCCTGACTGTTCATTGCCCCGAAGAGAGCACGCTAATGTGGAAGCTGGCTGCCGCAGGCTAACACAAATCCTTCCTCGGCATGGATCTTCATATGATAAACGTCAGTGCTATATTAACTGATTCCTTTTAACCGATTTTTGTGACATTCTCGTTTTGAGGAACATTTTGACTCATTCCAGCATATAATGAGTCTAAAATTTGTCACTTACAAAGAAGGATTAAAAAAAAAATATGACAAAATTTGTTTATATTTGAAACGACTGGAAAAATATAGCTTAATTGAGGATATTTACTTATGTATTTTTTTTGTAAAAGCAAAATTTATGAGCTGTGTGGTACTCTGATTATCTGCTGTCCAGTCATCGCCTCCCCCTGCCCGCTATCGGTGGAACCAGTGATGTTTTCGTCGTTCTTCTTAGTTCTAAATTTTCTGCATCCACGTAACTCCATACTCGGAATAGTTGGTAAATTCATAGCTTGCTTCTCCATTTATGCAGCTGATAACTTCTCACTACACAACTACAACTTTAGCTCACTGGTGGCCGTCCCATTGTTCACTTGTTATCGCCGCATGGATACCTTTCAATAATTCGCTTTGTTCATGTTATTTCTTTCAAATAATAAATATAATATTAATGTAATACTGGTACTGCTACCGATTTCAGCCATCAGCAGCAGCACCAGCACCGGCAGCAGTAGGCGCAGCGCCAGTAATGAGCAGTGATGAGCTGTTTCGGAGACAGGAAGAGCTGGAACGAAAAGCGCAGGAATTGCGACGTCGTGAGCAGGAACTGGAACGACAGCAACGAGCCGGTGCAAATGCTGGTGCGGGAAGTGCACGGCCCCACAATTGGCCACCAATCCCATCATTTATACCGCTACAACCATGCTTTTATCAGGTGCATTTTTGGCTCCGTTATACTTAGAAACACCGACCAGCTATAATTTATTGCGCTAAGGCTTTGCCCATTTTAAGATGTTCCTGTGTTATGCAACTTTTTTACGCAATCCGACCAAAGACCTGCAAGAAAAGCCTGCGCGACAGAGAAAAAGATGCAGTAAAAGTACCCTCAGTTCGTGTCTGAGGTACAAGGCTAGGTAGTGTAGTGGTTAGCATGACACGTCCGAATGTGAAGGCAAGAGGTTCGATTCCCTTCCGGTCCACACCTCGTTTTCAAAATGAGACTTCGTTCACGATTTTCTAATCCACGCGTCCAAGCCTTCAAGTCGTAGTAGATCTGAAGGTATGAAGCGGCGGAAATATCATTAATTCTCTCTGAAGCTTATCCGTTTGTGATCCCCTTCACAAGCGGACAAATTCAGAATGAGTGACAAACTTTTTGCTTTTTATTATTTATATTTCTGCAAATAATTTGATACTGTGTGTGTGTGTATTTATGTGTGGGGGTGTATGTGTGTGTAGGTGTGATTAGGCCTTATTTATAGGATGTTGTGAGCATTTGTGTCCGTGCGAATATGTGTTTTGTGGGAAAATGTATGGGAAAATTTGTTTTTCGACAAAATCAGGCAAAGAGCCAGAAGTTTTCATATCACTGAATCTTTTGCGCTTTTTTTTAACAAATTTATTGTTTTGTTTTGAAAGATCAGCATTCTGATTGTGTACTGATAAGGGCTATGAGTGTTACTAGGATGAGTACACGGGACTTGGAGCCACAGATGCACTGTTGTTGAATGATAACTGATTGTGTATTTCAGGATATCGAAGTGGAAATCCCGGTACAGTTCCAGCGTACGGTCACACTGGTCTATTATGTTTTCTTAACATATGTGCTCGCTTTAACAATCAACGTTGTTGCGTCGCTTTTTTATGTTTTGTTTGGTGGTGGTCCGATCGGCATTTTGATCCTTGCTATTATCCAGATTGTGCTATTCTCCTCCTGCTCCTTCCTTTTCTGGTTTCGCCCCGTATACAAAGCATTCAGGTTTGGATATCCTTGATTTCTTTACGTTGGCCGCAAACTTTATTTTTAGTAAAAGCCGACATGTGTGCTTGTTTGCGCGAAGCGCAACTTAATAATACACATATGAAACTGTTCTCAGTCATGGCGCAATGATAAGTAATGCAAAAGCTCAAGAATTCAGTAACTCTGCCAATGGAACAACTAGTCATCCCTTTATGACTGACTTATCTATTCGTTTCGATGGTAAATTGGTACTTGCGCATAGTGGAAACTCAAAATCACCATCAGTTTGCTTCTAAGCAACCCTCAGAAATGAGGCCATCGACAGTTTTTCCAGCGATTGTTTGCTTTTTCTGCGTGCTACCACCATTCGAAAGGGGGGAGGGGGAAGGGCAGGCGAATTTTTGCCACCAGGTTAGAATTTACTCAGTTTTTTTGAACCCTGCCAGTTTATCTTTCAGTATCAGGAAGAACAGTGTTGGGAGTATTATGATTAGGAAAAAGACGTAGAATTGAATCATGCTGAATTATAAAGTGGAGGACTTTCAATGGAAGAGCGCATCTATTTCGCATTTTTGCCAGAAATCGGTGTGATGTGAAGGACGGAAGTGGGGATTCATTGAATTTTGCCCTGAATTTTATTGAAATTATTTTTTTTTAGGAATGACAGTTCATTTAATTTCATGGTATTCTTCTTCGTTCTCTTCTTTCATTCGATATTCACACTGGTCCAAGCGCTTGGCTTATCGCAGTATGCATGTGGCTGGATTAATGCTGTTAATACATTCCAGTAAGTTTTAATTCGCGTAGCAAAACGTTTTTTTTTAGCATAAAACATAACCTCAAGGGAATGTTACTGCATTGATTTTGTCGGCTTATTGCGAGTCTTATATTTTCACGCCTAAGTTTTGATCCTTCAAAGAGCTCTTGACCCTGT